CAAATGTCTTTATTCTTTATTCTTAAATCTCATACCCTGACTGGAGCTAGATGCACAGGAGCTGGACGGTGGCGGCGCGGTAAAACGTGATGCTCTGCAGGGGTGACCAGACGGGAAGGTTCCAGGTTGCACCTGCGGCCTCGTCTAGCAGGCTAGGCACGAGCGTGCCGAGATGCAGGGCCGGCTGAAGCGCAGGTGGGCTGTGGCACATGACACTGTGGGGGGGCTTGCTTACTCTCACTCTCATTCACGGAAGAAACGATGAGACCGAACAAGTTAATAAGAACTCTGTGTGGTCGAAGTCTCTGAATCTTGCACAGAGCTCCCAAACCCCTTGGAATATCCGAGTGACAGGTGACACGTGGCAGCCCTAGAAAGTGCGAGGTTGGGGGCTCACCGGTGATTACAGAGTGGGGCATCCGGGCCAGGCTGCCGATCCGCGGGGGGGGCTGGGGGGACAGAAATGGGTCTGGACCACGTGGCCAGTCTTCTGGTCAGTCGTGTCCAGAGGGAAGGCCATGGAGACTCGAGCCGGAGCTTAGTGCTGAGTGCACCGAGGCGTTGGGAGAGGCATGCCAGCTCCGTGGGGCCGTGCTGCTTTTGCACCCACCTGGGCGCTCGCCTCCTGTCTCGTCACCGGACTATCCCTGACTTGCACTCCTCTCTCTAGTAGAACTGTCATCGTAAGCATGGAGTTTTCAGTGGGTTCTAGTGACTGCTGCACCGGAGGGGTCGGGAAGCCCCGGATCTGTAACTCACACTGAGCAGGGTGCATCCCACTCACGGCTGGCAGCTGAGGGCAGGGCAGGCTTGTGACGATGCTGTCCCGAGCCAGTGCGGTCTCTGCTAACTCTGGAACGGGGTCGTAATGGAACTGCACTGCAGGATGAGGGTGTGCTCAGCTGGGCTAAGTGTGGTCGGCTTAGAGAGACTGCCGTGTGGCTGGTGAATGAGGCAGGGAGGTGGGGAACGAAGCTGTGACTGGCTCTTTCCTTGCTCTGTGGGATCTGCACGAACTGCGCAGTGAGGATCACAACTCTAGGACAACCCGTGGAGTCAAAGAACTGGCATCAGAAGATACTGGGAAAAATTATTTTCTAAAGTTTTAAGAAACTGCTACCTGGGCCAGGCTGTGACATGGTGGTTAAAGTGGCAGGATCCCACTTAGCTGACTGTGAGGTTTGGGTCCTGGACCCAGTGGCTTGGAAAATCGCTGGGTGCCTGTTTGAGTGTGTGCAGAAAATGCTGAAGGAGGGAGAAATGGAGATGGGACTGCAGCGTGGCCATCCCCCACGGAGGGTGCAGTTCCTCATTTTCTTTCTTTCTCTCTCACTTTCTCCAATGAGTATATGAGCCCTCTTGCAAAAATTAAAAAATAAAATTTAAAAATGTTGCTACCTCACTCCCTATCTTCTAGCATGGCTGTTTGTAAGTCTAAAGGCATTTGTGTAAGATACCTGTTCCTTTGTGAAACCTTCTCAAGAAGGTTTGAGGATTTTCTCTTTGTCCTCAATGATGCAATGTGGCCTCACATGGGCTTCAGTGTGTGGGACCGTTTTCATCAGTGATGTTAGATACTGAAGAGATAATTTTATTTAAAAATTTGTGCCTTTTGGTTCTGGAAAATTCTAATAAACTTGCGTGGCGGCTGCTTCTTTCTGGATACCTCTCATTTGAATACCAAAACCTCCTGGAAAAATTCTGATTATATCATCTCTATTTTCCACTTCATCTTTTTGTTCTACTTTCTGAGAAATTAACTTTTCTATTCAGTTTTCATTTCTGTTATCACAATTTTAACTCCCAAAAACAGTTAAAAAAAGTTTTTAGGTATTAATAGGTATTTTTAAATGCATTATTTATTTTTTTGGGAGGGAAGACGTTTTTGCTATAGGGCGCATGCACTTGCCAGAGAGACAGACAGAGAGAGAGAGAGAGACAGAGAGAGAGAGAGAGAGAGAGAGAGAGACAGAAAGCGAGAAATCACCCCCCCCAAGGGATGGCCACGCCGCAATCCCTTCTCCTCCATTCTCCTCTCAGGATCTTGGGCATGCATGCACACATGCCCGGCATGAGTTTAAGCCACTGGGTCCGGGACTTGAACCGTGGTCGACTACATGGGAGTCCAGTGACATAGCCATTGCGCTGCTGGTCCCTGCATTTTTTATTTTCAATAAAAGGTTTTAGTTTTAATAGATAAAAATAAAAAAAATATTAAGAGAAACTTGCTTAAAACTTAGCCAGGCAAAAGGTTAGAGTTCAGTTCAAATAGTAGGTGGATGAACCTATCGATTGTTCAAGAGAAGACAAAAATCCTTAAATATGGAAGTCAAAGCATCGAAGAAAGTCAGCAATGTTTTAGTCTAAAGTAAATTCTCTTTCACTAGTTCAGCCTCACGTAGTTAATCTCTCTTCTATTGAATTTGCAGCGTTACTGTGGTCTGATCTTTGCATTTAAACTCTGGAAGTTAGCATTCAACTCCAGACCTGTCCCTACCATTAGGCTGGCCCTTCTCTTGGTTGTTCCTTGTACTCTTATTTCTGTGTCTGACTTTGGTTTTCCTGGGACAGCACTCCCTTCAGCACTTCTTGGGGGGAGTTAGTCTGGTGTTGATAAATTCTTTCACATTTTGTTTATCTGAGAATGCTTTTGTCTTTTTCTACCATATGAAAGATAATCCTGCTGGGCATGGTATTCTTGGTTGAAATTGTTTTTCGCGTAACACTTTGAGTATATTTTCCCACTCTTCCCTTGCTGGTGTTGTTTCCAAAGAGAGGTCCAATGTTTGCCTGATGGGATAACCTTTGAAAGTAACTTGACATTTTTCTCTTACCACTTTTAGTATCTTGTCTCTGTCTGTGGTTTTGGTCAATCTGGGGAAGATCTTGGGTTGAGTCTATGTGGGGTCCTTTGTATTTCTTGAGTCTTGATATTTGAGTGCCTCTCTAGGTTTGGAAAGTTTTCTTCCAGGATTTCATGGAAATTTTCTAAATGCTCTTTTTATAGACTATCTTTTTCTTTTTCTATGGAGATATTTATCTTTCCTTATTGACAATATTTGTATTTTTGAAGTTTTCTTCTTCCTACAAGGAGAATGGTCTCTTGGGTCATCAGAAAAGTCATGTATTTTTCTGTGCTTTTAAATGCAAAAATGCATCATGACTTTCCTGATGACCCAATATTTCTAGATCTTTCTTACTAGAAACTTCCATAAAGTGTCTAATGGTTGTTAGTGTCCACCCACCTCCAACAGTGGCCTATATGACTAGGCCAGGGAGCCTCCATGGCTGTGGGTGGAGGTCACTCCTCCTGCGACCCCATAGGGTGGTCTAGCTGGGCTGGTGGAGCCTCTTATGTTAAGTATTGTTAGGGCACTTTTCCTGGGTTCACGCATCTCAGAGAAGTTCCCTGCAGAAACTCACCTGAGTACCGGCAGGGGTTTCAGCCTTTCATATCCGTTTTTTGAATGGTACCCTCACCTTCAACTACCCAGCCAGGCCCTCTGATTTACCCTTTCCAGATGAAAACCAAAACCACCTCTCACCTTTCACTGGGACTGGAGAGGAGCAGTCCCTGCTGTGTGGCGCTGTGGTGAGGGTCTGGAGGTTCCAAGCACTTCTTCACACTTGGCCACCTGCTCTGAGCCCGTTTTTCTCTACCCCAGAGCCGTCTACTGTAGATGGCTCTGCAGACAGTGCGTGCTGGGCTGCTCCGTGACTTAGCTCCCACTGGCTGACTTTGGGGCCGGCTCCTGTGATAAGCTAGAACAGCTCCGATCTGCTTACCAGCTCTCCTGCTCCCAAAATCTTACTTATGCCACCTCCCCTGGTCTTTGTGCGTTTTCTTTTTACCCTTTTACCATTATTTTCATGGAGTTTTCTTTTGGGGGGGGAGGGGAGAGGTTTTCGCTATAGGGCGCGTGCACTCTCCAGACAGACAGAGAGAGACATAGAGACAGAAAGCGAGAAATCACCCCCCAGGGGGAATGGTCACGCCACAATCCCTTCTCCTCCATTCTCCTCTTGGGATCTTGGGCATGCACGCACACGCGCCCGGCGTGAATTTTAAGCCACCAGGTCTGGGACACAAACCGTGGTCAACTACGTGGGAGTCCAGCGACATAGCCATTACGCTAACTGCTGGTTCCCTCGTGGAGTTTTCTGAGTAAAGAACATGTAAATGTGTCCGATCAATTCTTTCATTTTAAAAATAATAATTATTTATTTTTAATTTTATTTATTCATTCATTTATTTTAATTTGACCAGAGAGAGACAGAGAAAGAGAGAGAGAGAGAAAGTGAGAAAGCAAGCCACCAGGTCCAGGACTTGAACCGTGGTCAGCCATGTGGAAGTGCCTTAACCACCATGTCACCTGCTGGTCCCGATTCTTAATAGGAATTATACACAAAGCAAAGCTTACTTATTGGTTAATAACAGCCAAATTCAATCAGTTATATGTCAACTGGCAGCTGATGAAAGATATATTTATTGTTCTTTTTTTTTTTTTTTTTTTTGTTTGGAGAGGTTTTTCACTCTAGGGTACGTGCGCTTGCCAGACAGACGGAGAGAGACATAGAGACAGAAAGCGAGGAATCACCCCCCGGGGGGATGGCCACGCTGCAATCCCTTCTCCTCCATTCTCCTCTCGGGATCTTGGGCATGCACGCACACGCGCCCAGCCTGAGTTTTAAGCCACCGGGTCCGGGACATGAACCGCGGTCGACTACATGGGAGTCCAGCGACATAGCCATTACGCTAACTGCTGGTTCCCTATGGTTCTTTAATTGCCTAAAAGTTATGGAGAAATCAAAACAGTCAAGGTTTTAAATTACATTTTATAAGAAAAGTTATAAAGTATCTCAGTTCTCTGGGGGACATCTACATTTGAATGTAGATTATACATGTACATTTGAATGTATATTAATTATATATACTTTATTTTCTTAGAATTACTAACTTTATTTATACCTGCAAACAAAAAGAAAGGCAATTTACTGACCTCTGCTTCTGTTGCTTGGGATTGTAAAAGCTGTCGTACACGAAGTATATCCTTCTCTATTTGCTGAATTCTGGCTATTCGCCGCTAAAACAAAGCAAGAGTCCAAGTTAGATGTGTTTTTTTTTAAAAACATTAGTATAAGCAATCGTATTATGGCTACCACCTAATGGCTTAGGGTTACGACAAATAATTTTTACTGAGAAGTCAGACACACGTGTGTATAAACCCACACATCTATGACCATGTGGGAAAGCTTTTCTTCATTGCCAAAGAGTGCATGCACTTGCCAGAGAGCCAGAAAGAGGGGGAGGAGGAAGGTGCCCCTCACTGGGGAGTGCTCTCACTGCAACCCTTCTCCTTCCCTTTCTCCACCCACGGTGGTTCTGGGCATATGCACACACACTCGGCATGTCCCTGACACTGCTGGGTCCAGGATGCCAACTATGTGGTCAGTTACGTGGGCTCCAGCCACTTTAACCGCCATGCCACAGGCTGGCCCAGGCCGGTTTTTTACATACATTTTTTCTAACTTTATGCAACAGGTGTCCAGAGACGTTTAGTGAATATATAAGTCACACATCAAACTATATGCTGCATATATTATGAAAATTGATATTTAAAAGTTATTCTCAACAAAATTTCAAAGAGGAGAAAATTACATCTGACTCTTTCAAATTAATCCCAACAGTAACATATGCAACGTATTTATATAAAGTACAGTATACCTGTATAGGGGAAAAAAACATCCAATTTTTCTTTCTTTCTTTTTTTTTTTTTTTTTTTTGAGGGAGGTTTTTGCTATAGGGTGCATGCGCTCGCCAGAGAGACAGAGAAACAGAAAGCAAGAAATCACCCCCCGGGGGGATGGCCACGCCGCAATCCCTTCTCCTTCATTCTCCTCTCGGGATCTTGGGCACGCACGCATATGCGTCCGGCGTGCGTTTAAGCCACCGGGGCCAGGACTAGAACTGCAGTAGACTACATGGGAGTCCAGCGACAGCCATTACATCAACTGCCAGTCCCAACAGCTAAACATTATTCTTATTTTCAGTCCTAGGTAGAGTTTTTGCTTTTCCAGTATACTGATTTGTTTTCATTTTTATGAATACTAGTGTAATTGGGAAAAAAACAAATCACTTATACAGAAATATCTTTTTTTTTTTGAGAGTTTTTTTTGCTATAGGGCGCGTGCGCTTGCCAGACAGACAGAGAGAGACAGAGACAGAAAGTGAGAAATCACCCCCCGGGGGGATGGTCACGCCACAATCCCTTCTCCTCCCTTCTCCTCTCTGGATCTTGGGCACGCACGCACACGCGCCCAGCGAGAGCTTCAAGCCACCGGGTCCGGGACTTGGAATCCAGTAGACCACATGGGAGTCCAGCGACATAGCCATCATGCCAAGTGCTAGTCTCCACAAGCTGAATTATAAGAGGAAGCGTCTGGCTCGGCTGTGGGTGTCGGCAGTAGGGCCCGAAGGGAAGGCTGAGGGTTCAGATCCCGGGCGGACTAGAACACGCCGGGTGTGCCTCTGGGCTTCTCTCTCTGACCCTGACTGACTGAAAGGCTCTCAGTCGTAAGGAGACCCTGCTGCAGTTCTCTCTAGCTCCCTCACTAAATAAACAAATGCGCTTCATCAATAGTAACTGCGTCAGTGGGAAAACCATCTAGCGCCTAGTCAGAAGGATGGAGTAGTCACTAAAACACTTTTTGTTGCAATGCCCCATCGATAAAAGAATTTCCAGGGGCCAGCAGGTGGCGTGGTGATTAAAGCTCTGGACACCCACATGGCCAACCTCAGTTTGAGTCCCGGACCTGGCAGCTTGCTTCCTCTCTCTTTCTGGTAAGCGCGTAACATGCCCTACTGCCAATTAAAATAATAACAGTAATAAATAAAATTAAATAATTATTTTAAAAAATTTAAAAATTTTTGAGTATATATCTCTTAACAGATAAATAGTATTAGTAGCATAACAATTAGTTTTTATTTGATTTTTATAAAGAGATTTTTGCTATAGGGTAGGTGTGCTCACTTGAGAGAGACAGAGACAGAAAGTGAAAACTCACCCCCCCCAGGGGGATGGCCACGCCGCAAACCCTTCTCCTCCATCCTCCTCTCAGAATTTTGGGCACACATGCACACACGCCCAGAGTGAGTTTTAAGCTGCTGGGTCTGGGACTTGAACTGTGGTCGACTACGTGGGAGTCTAGCAATGTAACCATTAAGCCATCTGCTGATCCCAACAATCAGCTTTTAAGTACATGTAGTAATAAAATTTCCATACCACTTATCGTTTGATCACACCTATTTTTACTTAAATACAGTGTCCTCATGTTTCTCCTATAACCAAAGTAAAACGGTTTATCGCTGCTAGTAGCCAACGTTATAAAAATCTCAAAGACCCTCCCCATCAATCTTCCTTCCTTCAAGAGAGAGACTTTTACTACGGGGCATGTGCGCTCACCAGAGAAAGACAGGAAGAGAATCACTCCCCAGGGGGGATGGCCACGCCACAATCCCTCCTCCTCCATTCTTCTCTCGGGATCTTGGGCACGCACGCACACGCGCTCGGCGTAAGTTTCAAGCCTTCGGGTCTAGGACTCAAACAAACTGTGGTTGCCTATGTGGGGGTCCAGTGACATAACCATTATGCCATCTGCTGGCCCCCCTCCCTTTCTTTTGAATGCTACAGCTGTGCCGATTCTCTTTCATGATTCTGAAAGTAGCAAACTCAAGGTCAAGAATATCTTCTAATGAATAAATTTTACCGTGTTCAATTGATATCACAAAACTGAAAAAGAAATAGCTCTACTCTTGGTAGCTTTCTAAAAACACTGCAAAGATCAACAATCACTTCCACAGCCAGATGCTAACCATTTCCTGGTTTTAGAGAAACACCTGAACAACACACACTTATCCATGTCTTAACCTGGACTACTTCCTCCGCTGCTATACATAACCAGTTCCCTTCCACCAGTAAAGTCCTACATCGAAACTTCTATCCCTCCGAGGACGAGACTAGGAAATGACATTTCTGTGCTGCCAGTATCGTGGTAAATCCCGAAGTCAGGTCCATGTCTTTATGTCTACTGAGGGGGTGACTTCTGACACGACACTCTTCTATTTCTGAACATGAAAACAGAACAAGCCAGTAGGATTGCTTTCCTTTTTCTAGGACATTCTTGAATACTTATGTTTATTAACAAACACACTGGACTGTTCCAAGTACAAAGTTGGTCTGACTATTGAAACAATGATTTTAAAAACTTTAATAGTAACACACATTTAGGGTATCTCAGGAAATCATAGAGAAGGTAAGCACCTTAACTTGACGAAGGGTATCTGTCAAAAGCCTTGGGCAAGGGCCAGCCAGGTAGTGCGTACTGGCAGAGGCCATGTGGGAAGCCCAGGTCCATTTCCCACCTGACCTAAAAGCTGGGCACAGTAGTGCCTGCTACTGTCCCGAACTACTCGGGAAGGGAAGGCAGGGGGTGATGGCAGGGAAACCACCTTGGAACACACACACACACACACACACACACACACACACACACACACACGCAGGCCAGCCCATGGCCTGGTGGTTAAGGCAGCCGGATCGCACGTGGCTGGAAAACACCCATTGGGCACGTGTGCCGCACAACTGGGTGTGATGGAGATGTGGAGGAGACAACTGTGGCAGGACCACACACCGTGAAGGGTGCTTTCTCCCTCTTTCTCTGACTGTCTCTCTGGTGGATGCCCATATCCTCTGGCAAATTAAAAAAAAATTAAAAATCACAAACAAAACCTGGAGTAAACAAAACACTTAACTGTGAAATTCCAGTATTACTTTAAAATCCAAGACAGGACAAAGAAGATCGTTGGTACTGCTTCTATCCAAAGATGTATTAGAGTCTTTATGCAACACAACCAAAGAAAAACAAACCAAACCCAGAAGCTATAAACAAATTCATCATTACCTGCAGTTGACTGCATGCAGGGGATTTTCCAGGATCAAGAGTCCTGCAAGTCTGCTGGGTACTTATTAAGTTTAATTTAGCAAGGCAATGGAAAGATAACGACAGAAACAGAACACATCTCGGCATCAGTCTTAAAAAGAACATGTAAGAACTTTATGGGGGGCCGGCAGGTGGCATGGTGGTTAAGGTGCTGGACTCCCACATGGCCAACCATGGCCAAGTCCCAGACCTGGAAGCTTGCTTTCTCACTTTCCCTTTCTCTCTCTCTCTCTCTCTAGTGAGTACACATGCCCTGTAATAAATTATTAAATAAAGAATTCTTTTTCCCCCCTAAATATATTCATTTAATTATTATTCTTCAATTTGAACAGAGAGAAACAGAGAGGGAGAGGGAGAGGGAGAGGGCCAGCCGCCAAGTCCGTGAACTGAATTGCAATCAGCCATGTGGGAGTCCAGTGCCTTAAATACCATGCTACCTGCTGGCCTAAATAAATAATTCTTAAAAAACGAACTTTATGGAGAACATTATAAAACTTTATTTAAGGACATAAATAAAACCTAAATGAATGGAAAAATATAAAAATTAGTAACAATCCCTATTATTTACTGATTGTTGATAATACACTAGGCTCTAAGATCTTTCTCATGTTACTCATTTAAGTCTCATATTTTATAGTCTAATATGATCTGTATCTTACTGATGAGAAAACTAGGGCAGCACATGTGCGCAGCATCACACTGCTGGTAAGTGGCAGGCAGAGATGTCACCCAATTAGGTGGGCTCCAAGGTCCTTCCCTTCAACCAAGAAGGCTCAGTACTGTAAAAACAATTTCCTTCATCTGTACATTCTATTTAAGTCTAGTCGAAAGCTCATAGGCTTTTCTTTGAATTAAACAAGCTGATACTAAATTTTTTTTTTGCCAGAAAGACAGAAAGCAAGAAATCACCCCCTAGGGGGGATGGCCACGCAGCAATCCCTTCTCCTCCATTCTCCTCTCGGGATCTTGGACATGCACGCACACATGCCCAGCGTTGAGTTTAAGCCACCGGGTCCGGGACTCGAACTGCGGTCGATCACATGTAAGTTCAGTGACATGCCATTACGCTAACTGCTGGTCCCAC